CGAAACGATGAATATTTCAAAAACTTAATTAGTATTCAAAGTTTCTGTAGATTTTTTTCGATATTTTCTTCATACTCAATCTCATTCTCCGAATATTCAATAAGAAACTCTCCTTCAGACTCTCCATCAGTTTCTGTTTCTGTTTCAATAATCGATTCAGTTTCTTTGTTCACAATTTTGCGACAATCTTTTTTAGCGTATATCAAATCACAAACACTCAAATGAATTGAATGATTCTGGCAGATCTGATGTGGAAATTTAAATATGGTACCCAATTTCACCATCCAACTACAGCCATCCGTAGTTTTACCTGCAATATCTTCACTATCTATACCAAATTCTTTTAATTTTTCCATTATCAAAATGTTTAATGTTTCAGCAGAACTAGGAGATGGCAATCTCATCATTCCTAAACAATACGTTCTGTCGTGATGAACATTTAAATTGTAGTATCTTCTACCTCTATTGCTACACCATTTGTCACCTGTTAGTCCAAATTTTTCTCCTTTTGCTTTCAATGCAGCCAATTCAGCGATCATTAAGTATTTGGCTTCAGCATGAAACATCTTAATTTTTTCTGAAATTGCGGACGCTGACTTAGGCAAACTATGCCCGTAATTTTCAAAAAGCATTCTTAGTGTTTCAGATTGAGTTATGGACCTAATCGAATACCCATCAAGAGCTGTCAACTTGGCAAGAAGATCGTTTAATGACATTTTAGTCAAAACTGGTCTGGAACTGAATGGTTTCAAATCTATTTTCTCGCAACTTTTGACGTGTCCAATAAGGCCGTTTGTGCTGCTTCCTGGACAAGCGATTTTTTATGACATTTTTTGCAATCTCCATACTTCTTATCATTTACCACAACTTTATTAAAGTACTTCCACGCTTCCGAAACCATTTTTTTCTATGAAAGAAAAACTATCAATTTGATAATGACCTCCCATATTTGTTTTTAATTTTATTTTAATTGTGAAAAGTTATCACATTTTAAGTTATTAAGTTATTTATTCTGATAGGTAAGTATAATTAAACATTAATTATTATTATTATTTATTTTCACTGATAACATTTTATTGCACAATTTTGCCACAATGCTCAGTGGGCCGGATTTTAGACTTATGGTGGACAAAATTATTTTGATCATACAAAATACGACACTACTTGTATAAAATGAAAGTTTTATATGTTTTATATGTTAAAAACTTACCTCGTTATTTTACGACCAGTCTTTGTTTATATTATAAATAATGATCTTGACTAAACTTTTTTTTTGTAAAGGTAAACTATTGAGTAGTTAAAATATATAAACTAATATCACATTCGCATAATATTTTAAAAGTTACTGTTTATTATATCTTTGCTTAAAAATTAAAAAATTCTTGCTTTTTATCATGCATTACATTTTATTATACCGCAATTGATTTTTGTGGATTTAAAAAAATACTAATACTAAAAAGATACTAATATACACAAAAGAGTTTTTGAAATAGTACAATGGAAAAGTATGAGCATGTTTTAATATATGGTTTTGAATAGAATAAACTTTTTTTGAGGTTTTTTTCACTATCATCACCTGGCCCACTGTGCATTACCAATTGCTTTGCGATGTATATTAGTGTTGTTATTAAACGAAGAGAACACTTACATTTAAAACAATTTTTAAAATTACAGTTTACAATTGTAAAAACCACGTAGAAATAAAATAAGAATTCAATTATTTTACGAATAAAAAATTGGTATTTTCTAAAAACTTCGTCGAAGTTTCGTCGAAGTTTCTCGATTTGTCTCGAACTCCGAAACTCCGAAAAAAGGAGAAAAATCCGTCGAGACGGAGTTCCGAATGGATCCACTGCTTAAATTATGTGATATTTTTTGTAAAAATAAAAGTATTAAGTGTTAAAAATTTACCTCGTTATTTTAAAGCCAGTTTATAAGTATACAATAAATTCTGAATTTTTACTTTACATTTTTTTCGTAAAGCTATACTGTTAAATAGTTTGAATATATAAAATAATCATGTATGCGCATAGAATTTTAAAAGTTACTGTTTACTATAGCTATGCTAAAAAATTTCACCCTTTTTAAAATATAAAAATTTTTTTTTTTCATTTTGCATAGAACTACAACTGAATTTTGTGGTTTAAAAAAGTAATAATTTTTTGAAATGGGAAAATAGAGTATGAATATGTTTTATTTTTTATTTTTGAATAAAATAAATATACTTTTTTAAGTTTTGTCCCCCACCTGGCCCACTCTGCAATGCCTACTTGGATATGTTTTTAATGCCACAAGTTTGGTTTTTTCAGCCAATTTTTATATAACAAAAGTTTACATTTAAATATTGAAAAGTGTACAACATGCAAACATAATAAGGTTTGCCTGGGATGGCCACTGGTAATGTTTAGGAAAAACGACGTGACGGTTGTTATTGGAAAGCCAATCTTTCAAAGATGTTTCAAATGTGTGAAAGTAATTTCTTATCGCCAGTACCGAATTAAGGAAAACGAGAGCTCTAGACACTAAAACCTTTGGATGCTCCATTTTTACATTTAAAAAAATATCTTTTAATAATTAAAAAATATTTTTTAAATGTAAAAATTGTGATATACTCTATAAGTTAGAAAAACTTATAGAGTACATCACAATTTAAGAAATAAACATTGTTACATAAAGTATCTTTAAAACCTTTTTCATATCTTTTTTTGATAAAATTATTAAGGATACCATCAAAACTGATGTCAGAACAAAAATTAACTTCATGTTTCCAGGGCAAATACTAACTAATCAAAACATCCATAGCATCCTTCATTTTATGCTTAAACTAAAAAATAATTTGGTCCCAAAAATATTTTAAAGTTATTTTAAACTTATTGGTTACAAATAAAAAACAAAACATTCTATTCAGAACTACAATATTTCAAAAATTTCTTTTAGACAATCCAAGTTTTCAATATCGATAAAGGGACCACTACTGTTGAATATTTCTCGCAAATGATACGAAGACCAACATTTTAAACTTGATCCAACATTTTGAATGCGTTGTTAAACAATTGTTACTTGACCTCAACATTAATAAAATAATATTTTGTTTTAGAACTTTTTTTAGTTTTGATACTTGACTATTTTAATATATATTGGTGCTATATTGTTAATTAATAAATAATATATGTTGTATAATTATATGTAATTATATTATATGTTACAAATATTTTTTAATTTGTGGTTATTTTATATTTAATTTTTTACTTTATTGATTTGATTGTAAAATATAACTGAAATTAACAGGAAAAGAAAACAAGAACATTGTCTTTTGCTGGCTCCAATCAGAGTTGTTAACAAGACCAAAAGTAGTAAGGCCAAGGCTACATGCTACAAGGCCAAGGCCAAGACCAAAACCAAGGCCAAGAGTTTTAAGGTCAAGGTCTACGCAAACATTTTCAAGACCATAAACCTAAGCTTTTGCCTTTGAGTTAAGGCCAATTATTACCAATACTATAGGTACAAGTACTGTGACATTAAAAACACTTGTATAAATTGACCAAGGTTATGCCCAGAATACAATGAAGTAAATAAGAAAACATACTTATATAGATATATATGAAAATCGAAAACAAAAATGCATAAAAATAAAGAGTGAAAACTTTAAATTCTTTAATTTTATGTATTTCTTTTTTGAAGGTTAAGGCCAAGATAATCAAGACCAAGGCCAAAATTTTCAAGGCCAAGGCCAAGGTCAAGGCCAACAGTTTCAAGGCCTTAATTTTTAGCATTAAGGTAAGGCCGAGGTCAAGGACTAACAACTCTAGCTCCAACTATATCTTTCACGTTTTCAATATTGTAAAAAAAGTTATATTGAAACTAATAGGGAAAAAAAAAAAATCCTATAAGATAAATTTTTACTCATCTCATAGAAATATCCTTTACTAAGGTCATTTCTTCAAGGTTTATAGAAGTATTGTGAACCTTTCCAGCTTTTTTATTTAATTTAAATCTAGAAAAACATTTTTTTTAATTAGTGCTTAGTCAAGCATAAACTATTAGTAAGTCCCTCAATAAGAATACTTTTCAGCTGTAAGATCGATGGAATTTTTCACTGAGATGCTGTTTTGCCGGCAGAAATAGCTAAATCTAAATACACGTTTTACTTTATTATTTTAAGCTTTTTTATCTATATGCTTACATTTGAAATGGTGTTACTTTGAATCTATGTATTTTATTAATTTTCCCTCAACTAATTCGTAATTATAGTCCGAAGCACGCTGAACTCACTTAAATGGTTTAGTTTCCCCTCAACATTTTCGTAATTATAGTCCGAAGCGCGCTGAATCCATATAAACTTTTGATGACATAAAATTGGTTAACATACCACAAAATGTTGATGCGTTGACACTGGTGTAACAATTGATACCGGTTTAACATGTAATAAATACTGTAACTCCTAATTAAAAAAGACCAATAGGATTTTAAGAACGGAAAATAAGTCCGACAAAAACTAATAACATTCAACTTGTTTTAAGTTATACTTTATATAATGATTTTGATTTATGCATCAAATTATCTATCAAGTTATCAAACCAAACATTAATAATAATCTAAAAATCATAAATATACTTTTAAAGACGCATCTGATTGAGAGGTATAAATTTTAACCTTTTTTTTTCCTTTAAAATAATTTTGCGATATGACAATAATTTTGAAGTGTTGATTTCAAAAATTTTATTGTTAATTGCTGAATATTTCACGCTACTTTTAGAAATTTATAGATTTTGGTCTTTTAAAAAAAGTTGAGTAATTACCCAGCAGACACAGACGTCTATAAAATGTCTTTACGATGTCTAATAAATGTTAACTATTCTTAAATGATTAGCGGACGCTCTGTGCCCGCTGGGTAGACACTTTTAACATAAATTTAGACAAACAAGAAGAGAAACTTGATTTTTCACTTGTTCAGTTACATTCCAGGGACTAAAAAAGTAAAGCACTGAAAGCAAATTGGACAAACTTATTAAATTTAATTTGCTCTTCATAAAGTAATCAAAAGTTATAAATACAAAAATATTTCTGTTGAATGGTTAATACAAGATAAAAAGCGCGTACACCAAATAAATTTGTACAGAAACTCAATCCTGCAGCACATTTTACGTCAAAAAGGCGCCAACTTGAGATTTCGATTGTTGGTATTTTTATTACTTAAGTTTAAAGATTAAATTCCATTCAAAGATTTAAATTAAAATTACTGCTGTAATGAAAGAGATTCAGGAGAGTTGGTTATAAAATTAAGCAAATCAAGACGGGTGACAATTCCAAATATTATCTCTTTTTTTGTAGATTTATTCGTATCAGAATCTAAAAATATATTGATTTAGTAATAAAAAAATTATATAACTTCAAAAAGTTAAACTATTGAATAAAAAATCATAACATACATTGGTATTGAGAGTGAACGACCAAAGCAAAATATTCATGATCGAGTATTCTAGAAAGTTCTCCAAGTGATGTATGTAAAGATACCTTTAAGAAAATAAAAAAAATACGTTATTATATTTGGTATGTACAACTATTTATTTAGTTCATTTTAATCGATGTTTATATTGTCTTACTTTCCTCAAACATTAGAAAAATGCTTGAGCGCGTTAAGTTATTAAAAGTTTACAAAATAGCAATTACGCTTTTGGTGAGCACGCGCTGCGTCTCACATTGCATTATTGTCTTAATATCTTGGACAGAATCCACAAGCATTTTTGACGATATAGTCTTCAAACTCGATGTCGAGTGTGACGAGTGTTGGCCTAAAAAACACTAGGAACTGCAGTCATCACCCTTGTTGTTAGTCAGGTGATCTTCCATTATGTTTCAATGAAAACGTATAAAAAACAAACATTTAAAAATTATATCAATATAAAAACACTTGAACGTGTAAACATATTTAAGGTTTACAAACTAGTAATCACGCTCTCGGTGTGCTGTTGGCAAAGGAGCATTTAGCACACGCTGCATCTTGTAGTAAACTTGTTGTCTTAGGATCTAGGACAGAGCTCACTACAATATTTGACGATGTAGTGGTCACATTCGTCATCGGACCCTGAAGAACACAGGTCCTTGCAGTTCCTTGTGTTCACATATAATATGTAATCATCACAAGTAATCTATAATCATCACAATTAAACTGTAATTATCACAATTATTCTGAATCATCGTCCTTGTTGTTGACAGGTGATCCTCAATTTTGGAGTGAAATCATGAATCTGAAAGTACTACACTCCTTTATTAAAGAGAAATATTATTTCACTAATTTTATTAAATTTTTGATAAAAAATAAAAACAATTAGAAAAAACCAAACTAACATGAATTTAAATTAAAAAAAGTCTGAACCTTTTTAAACTTATCATAAATAGCATGAGTGACTGGTGATTTTGGAGTTATTTTGCCAGAAACCATTTTTCCCATTATGTTGCCAAGGGTAACCATTCCTTGAATACTTCTAAAGGTAAACACACACAAATAATAAAAAAACTGCAAATGACAAGAGTGGACTCACAGAGCTTATTATAAGAATAAACCATCCTGTTTTAAAATTATAATTCTTAAAAGATAAATCAGAAAGTAAGGTTTAAGCTTTCATTCATTTAAAGTGTCAAAGATGTCGTGAAAAACATAGAAAAAACAGACGACAAAAGAGATGCTCATATATAATAGAAATACAAAGCTGACGTCCCAATACGTCCTTATACATCTTATAGACTTTGACAAAATAAATACATTTTAATGTAAAAAATATTTAAAAAAAAACAAGCACTTATTAAAAATAAAACAAAGCCTAAGCAACTTAATTTAAAAGAAGTCAATAAAATAGTGGCAAGGTAATAAAAAACAGCAAAAAGAAAATATTTCAAAATATAAATAACATTTCTTACCCAGCTTCATCAACTACTGGTAACTGATCATAAGTTTCTCTAAGATAAATAAATATATACATAAGTAATATATAAACACAAATATATATAAATATAGCATAAATTTCAATATAAAATAGATATAATAATTTAAATAAAAAATTGTTATTATCTAAAAAAAGTAAAGTTAACTCTTATATTTATGATTTTTATTTTATTACATGTAGTTTTGTAATTTTATTACATGTAGTGATACATTATGTAGAATGAAATATGTAATAACGCTTTATAACTATATTATTACTTTTATATCAACCTCACTTCATAAAAGAAGTGAGGTTGATATAAAATTTCCAGGATCAGGAAAATTATACCAAATAAACCCTTAAGATTTTTTTTTGAAAAATATTCCCTTAAATCTAGTGTCAATTTTTTATATAGAACATATTAGAAGCGTCAAAAAATACTTTTAAAAAATGTAGTATTGAGTAGCACCCTGAATATATACATAAATATATATCTATATCTATCTATCCATTTATATCTCTCTCTCTCTCTCTCTATCTATCTATCTATCTATCTATCTATCTATCTATCTATCTATCTATCTATCTATATATATATATATATATATATATATATATATATATATATATATATATATATATATATATATATATATATATATATAGGCCTGGATTAACCATTAGGCAAACAAGGCATTTGCCTTGGGCACCAAGCGTTTCGGGGCACCACAAATCCTCAAGAAATAATTTCTTTTAACAAATTTAAGTCAACTGAAAATTAAACAAAACTATTTATTATTAACTATTGATTTTAATACATAAACACTTTATTGTAGGTTTTATATGAGTGATAGTAGTACAAACTACAAACATATTTGTTAACAACTGTTTTCTTTGCATAATATTGAACATACCAGCGGTCACAGCCAGCAAAAAATCAGGGGCCCTGAGCAGAAGGGGGCACCGATGTGGGTTTGTGCCTTGGGCATTAAAATGGCTTAATCCGGCCCTGTATATATATATATATATATATATTTATATATATATATATATATATATATATATATATATATATATATATATATATATATATATATATATATATATATATATATATATATATATATATATATATATATATATATATATATATATATATATATATATATATATATATATATATATATATGTATGTATATATATATATATATATATATATATATATATATATATATATATATATATGTATATATATATATATATATATATATATATTTATATATATATATATATATATATATATATATATATATATATATATATATATATATATATATATATATATATATATATATATATCTTCTATAGCTTGTTTAGAGGAGGATTTGCTCACTAGTTTAGCTTATCTTTATAGCATACAGTGTTTTTATAAAAAGAAGAAATAAACAAAGAATAATGAAAGAAAAGATTGCTGCCCCATCCAAACCCTCAGTTGATGTAGCAGCAACCCGCTGCGAGTCAGGGTATTTGTCAGTCGATATATGTATTGAAGCAACAGGCTATTTTCAGTGTGACATCAGAGTGCTTACATCACACTCAAATAGGGAACTGGGAGGCTTTCAGTACATACATATTTAAAATTTTGTTTCCTAACAAGAATTCAATTATTGTCTATGATCTCTAAGCCGTTGCTACTAAGCCAACACAGAGAACGAATGCAGTTGATGTAAAACTCTTTGAATCAAATCAAATGAAGTGTTCCAGAAGTTCACTTTGGTTTTCTTTAACAATAACATGGTCATTTTTGCTATTTGAGGCACCATTCACTGTAAAAATATATTCATCAGAGAAGAGCAAAACCTGCATGCTTTTTTTCAACAAGGCCAAGATCTCAATACTTTACTAACAGCCAGTAACGACTGGGCTGTTCTGGCTAAATATCAAGCCCTAATATCACATTTAATGAGGTTTCTTGTTGTTCTCTCTAACATGTAGAGGTCCTTTGCCATCAACCAGTTTGACAGTGCCAGGTTTTTGGTTAGTCAGGGCTTGGTGGCCTTTGTGACCTTAAGGGTTTTGCCATGGTGATTCGTTAATATGCATTTCTAATATGTATGTATGTATGTATGTATGTATGTATGTATGTATGTATGTATGTATGTATGTATGTATGTATATATGTATGTATGTATGTATGTATGTACGTATGTATGTATATATGTATTTATGCATGCATGTATATGTATGTATGTATGTATGTATGTATGTATGTATGTATGTATGTATGTATGTATGTATGTATGTATGTATGTATGTATGTATGTATGTATGTATATATGTATGTATGTATGTATGTATGTATGTATGTACGTATGTATGTATATATGTATTTATGCATGCAACTAACCTGTACTGGTCCACACTGTACTAATATATTTTTACACATTTTTGTTTTAAAATTTCTTTATATGGAGAACTTACGTATTCATGATCTCAATTGCTGCTTGACAAGTCATGGTGGGCATAATAGTAAAAGGAGTTTTCAAACTCAAACGATTAACTTTTTCATTCCACCACCTAAATGAGAAAAATTATTTAAAATATATGGAAACAATATAAGTATTTAATTTATGTTTAAATATTTTATATTTAAATTATAAACAAACATAAAATTAGCTACATTTAAAACTAAGGCTCTCTGCTAAGATAAAACTTTTATAATGTTTTTAACTTAGCATCACATTGCCATTTTATAGTATGACAACCTTTATGTAACAAGTTTAACACCAGACATCATGACATGTATATTAATTTAAAAAAAGTTCATAATTTCTAGATTTATGATATCTTAAAATGTTACGATACTTGTGCAGTTAAACTTTTAGGTCATTTACTTTTAAGCGCATGTGTTGTTTGCAAGAATAGGTTGTATGAATTTTTACTGCATGCATTATTACATGCATATCGTCATATTTTTATGACATAACAATTCCATAACACGACACAAAAACTTACACTTGTCAGGTTAGATTAATAGTTTAAATAAGTAGCCCAAGTGAACAAATTTAAATTTTTTTTTTTTGTTGTTGTTTTATAAGATTTCGTTTCTTTATAAGAAGTTTTTCTTAAGTTTTGAAGGTTTAATAGTTCAATTCTTTATTAAGTCAAAATGTAAAAGCATGTCTGCAAATAAAATAACTTAAAGAAATTGAAAGCATATGGTATCCTATACAAATGACACAAAAATGGTTTATCGTAAATTCTAGTTCTGTTGAGGAATTAAAAGACAAATAAAATAGTGAATGAAAATTACCAACTTTATCCTGATTGACATTTTGTCAATCCTGCTTTATTATTAATTTCAAAGAATTTCAGAAAGATAAAAAATTTAAAAAATCTTATTATTCTATTTGCAAATAAAAGTATTTGCAAATAGAGTTAATATAGTATAATATTTTTCAAATATAAATTTAAAAAAATATTTACTTAAAAAAAGCAAAAAAATGCATTAAAAAAAAAATCAAAGAATGCTACACCTTCAGAGAGAAAAAGGAAAAAAAAGAGCCTTTCAAAGAGCCTATAAATAAAGAGCCTTATTTCACATACTAGTAATAAATTTTGTATATGAGATTATTTGTTCATGTAAATTAGGGGTGTACCGGATTGGAAGTTTTGAATTCCGACCAGAATTCCGGATTTGCCAGAACGAGAAATATATATGTAATTAAATTAAAAACCTCAGCATATGCCTAAACCTGTAATTGCAAAATGTAATTTCACCTCAGCATCGTGGCATCCTATACTTTTTAACTATTTAAAAGTTAAAAAAAGGCAGGTATATTTTTGATGAAAAAAAAGCTTGTTTGTTGCCCAAAACTGGATGGCAACTTTTTTTGCACCACAATACTCTTCAACTCAAGGAAATTCTTACACCCTTACAAGTGATTACTGCAAATAAAATTAGGCAAAGCTACAGTTAAGCAGTCTAAAATAATTTTATTTCCTCGCTAGTTGCCATTTTGTGTGCGAACTTGCTCAAAGTGGTGACTTTTTAATATACACATGAAGAAAATTTATTGGCTTTAGTACATACATCATCTATCTTATAGCCTGCTGCTACAAGTAAGTGCTACTACAACCATTATCTTATAGCCTGCTACTACAAGTAAGTGCTGCTACATTGACTGAGGATTTGGTATAGGTCAGCAATCTTTTTACTATTATTATTTCAATAAAAACTTTTAATGTTTAAAATCCCTCAATTTAAGAAAGCACAAAAAGCGAAAAAATTATAACTGTAGCTTTACCTAAAATTACTTATAATAATAGGGTGATTCGAAGATTTTAATTTGAAACAACTGGATTTAGAAAAAATTATACATCCTGTGTCAACTATCTTCAGTTGAAACCTAGATCAATTTAACTCAAGATTTTGAAAAAGCATATTTTGTAATAACATTTTTTTCTGTGTAAATAACTGGGGAAAAAAAATCTAAAATTCCAACAATCTAAATCTAATCAAACAATCAAACTAACAATCAGCTAACAATTGAGAAAGCCAGTTTCCATAAGAACATTAGAATCGTAGAAAAATAAAAACAACGAAGACAGAGGTATATGATGTATCATATATATAAAAATCAAGTTTTTAAACATAGGTCTTTCTAAAAAACTAGCTTGTCAATTCAAAAAAAGAAGACAAAAATTAACCTTTTATTAAACGAGAATGAAACATAATTAAGGAATATATACTAAATAAGAACAATATAAATGCAACTCTCAGAATAAGGGTACGCATTCGGCAATGCTGATCTAATAGTGTTTGATTTCTGCAATTTATTGGGACCTCAATTTTCCTAATTTAAGGGTTTAATTTCAGAAATATACAAATATAAAATATGAAATATATTAATAAGAAGTAGTATACAAATAAGAAACTTTTATAAATAAAAAATAAACTTTTAAGTTTTTATTGAAAAAATCCATAAAAAATATTTTTGAATAATAAAAACTTCAATATTTCAAATTTTGGTAATAAAAACCTTTTAAATATTGGTAATAAAAACCTTTTAAATATTGGTAATAAAAACTTAAATAAAAACAATAAATGCAACAAAAGTCCTTTAATAGATACTAATTAACTTATAGGCAAAGAAAAAATGAATAGGTACAAACTAAAAACTTTTTAAAACTTAGTTTAAAAGATAAAATACAAGATAAAGAGAATTTAAAGAAAAAATAAAAACAGTTTAAAGAAACTAATAATAAATAATAAAAAAAACTGATAATGATTTTAACAACTAACTATGATTTTACCCACCAATATGTCAAATCAATTAAAAATTCATATTTTTAATTGATTCGACGATCTTTTCGCAAGAAACTGATGAATAAACTTAAATGATCTAGTCTGTATACTGTGTTATTAAAGAATGACTTACAATACTGTGATAGGCAATCATTTATATCTGAACACAACATGCATTTCACTTTTTTAATGTTTTGACTTATTGAAATTACGCAAAAAGATGTCAAAACATAAAAAAAAACATTCACCTCACAAAGTATGATGGGGTTGCTAAAGCATTAAAGCTACACTTCTTTAAAAAAACAAACTATTTTATCTTTTAAATTTAAAACTCAAAAACACAACCACCGCACAGAAACAAGTAGAAATCAATACTACCAAGGAGATTGGAGATGTCAAAAATAGAGAATGGTAGGAATAATAATTAAACAATTTATTTGCTTTTCAATAAACTGAATTGAAAAACTTAAGTAAAAATATCTTACCAAACTTTTTCATTTTCTCCACTGTCTGATTCTATAAAGTCGCGCTCGATCATCCAAGAATCTTCTAAGAACTTTGTCCTATTGATAAAAAAATGCTATCAGTCTTGAAGAAAAGGTAAGATAGATGCTTCTAAAGCATTACCAACAACCAAATCTTTTGTATAGAAAATCTGAAACCAGGACAAAATTATACATGCTAAAGTAGCAAACACTCTTTAATTCAGAACTATAGGATATATATATATATATATATATATATATATATATATATATATATATATATATATATATATAGCTGCTTATGAATTTATACAGGTTTTATAACATTTTTAAAGTATAGCTTACATATAATTCCTAACACTATCTGGAAGTATGACCACGCAACGCTGATTTTCACCAAGATTTATTGCAGTTTGGCACGCTGCCCAAACAACTGCCCCAGAGGAACCACCTTTAAATAGAAGCACAATTCTATTATTTTGACATTTTTTATTATATAAAATAATTTGAATATTTATAAAATATATACTTAAAATATTTATAAAATATTACTTGAAGTATTCATAAACAAATCTGTATGTAATTTTTTAAATTTGGTTTCAGGCTGCTTTTCACAGGGCTAACCTGATGGCATGTATAAAATGTAGTATTCCCAATAAGTTTAAAAATCAAAAATGTCAAAAATGAAATAATGACAAAACTGTTGTGGCTTCACATATGTAATATAAAAATATTATTATAACACTGACGATGATGATACAAACATAGTTGAGAACCCAATTAATTGTAAATACATATACATTGAAAAATTTAACTCTTCAAACATTAATATTAGTTTTTTTTCTCTATTTCATTTAAAAATCACTTCATTAGTTAAACATTTTGATGAATTAACTTCATTTTTATCTCAAATAAATTATGAATTTAATATAATCAAAATTACAGAAACTTAGCTGAAATCCAATTTACTCCCAACAACTCCAATAAATATTAATGGAAATGTTTATGAACATACTCCAACAAAAACTTCATAAACTCCATTTCTTAGAGTCTGTGTTTGTTGAAATCATTTACTCTAAAAAGTCTTATCATAGTAGGTTGTGTTTATCGCTATCCTAAGATGGATATTAATGAATTTAATGTTTCATATCTAAGTATTCTATTTGAAAATCTTGCTGTTGAAAAAAATAAAACTATCTTTATAATCTTATAAGAGCAAACTCTTAGAAGATCTATTTTAAAAAAATAGCAATAGTTTGTATTAGAACTCTTTTGAATACATGTTTGGATGATATATCATATCCATCTTGTATATCTTCAAAAACACCATTATAAATAATTCAGTTAAAATCTTGGAAATTTTTGACTCTTTTTATTTCAATCCCTGAAGAACTGAAAAAAAAAATTCATTTATTTCATACTGACTTAAGTATTTAAAACATCAAACCCTGTCTCTCTTTTCATTAAAACTACTGAAAAAAAACACAACAATATCAGTTATACTTTCACTAAATGATAGCAAGGCGTCTGGTCCAAACAGCGTTACAACCTATATTCTAACACTTCTTGCTAATGATATTTCTTGAGTATTAAACTATTTAATTTCTTATTTGCTACTGATAATATTTTAAAAACTGCATCTGTTAAACCAAAAATAAAAAAAGGACTCCAAAACTTGACTACAATAACTATAGACCAATATCATTATTATCAAATATCAGCAAAATTCTCGAAAAATTAATGTATTCTCGTATCTACTACTTTCTTGATAATTGTAAGTGTCTCTACGGCACCAGTTTGGATTTGGTCTAAAATTCTCGAAAAATTAATGTATTCTCGTATCTACTACTTTCTTGATAATGCTAAGTGTCTCTATGACACCAGTTTGGATTTCGTTTAAAACACTCCACTTCCCATGCACTTATTAGCATTACTGAAATGATTCCTGGTGCAATTGATAGTGGTTCTTTTGCTTGTGGAGTCTTTATTGATCTCCAAAAAGCATTTAATACAGTTTACCATTAGATTTTAATAAAAAATTGTATCTCTATGGTATACAGGGTATTGCTAATGATTGGTTTTCATCATATATTAACAATCGTAATCAGTTTGCCTCGATTAATGGGTTTCAATCAACAAGTAAAGTTTTTAAGTATGGTGTCCCACAGGGTTCTGTTTTAGGAACTTTGTTTTTAATATATATTAAAGATCTGCCTCACTCTATAAATATTTTGATTGTTCATCATTTCGCTGACGACACTAACCTTCTATGCATAAATAAATCACTTGCGCAGCTTTGTAAAAAAATTAATAACAATCTCCATCATTTGTGTCATTGGTTAAATAGTAACCGTCCTAAATATTAATAAAGCTGAATTTATTATTTTTCACCCTCCAAAAAAAAAGATTGATAATGATAATGTGAAAATTAGAATTAATTGTAAAAGACTTTTTCCATCTAAATGTATAAAATACTTCAGGCTTATTCTTGACAAAAATTCTCCAACATATTCTGATATTAATTTACTTATCCTTGTTTTCCACACATCTAAGTTATTGTTTATTACTATTTTCATTAATTTCATTATTATATTTACATTATTTTTAGTTATTACTGTTATTATTAATTTATCTTTGTTTTAGAAGTCTTATTAATAATATTTATAATGATAGTGACTCTATTGTAGTAATAGTTTTATGGTTATTGTCCTAATTTTTGCTGTTATATTTATTTTAATAATTTTTGTTATAGTTATAAACTTTACTATAATTATATTTACCCTAATTTTTAGTGATGTTTTAGTAACTATTTGTAATGTTTTTTTATTCATATTATTATTATCATTATTATTATTATTATTTTATAGTTGGAGTTATTAATATTATCTTTATTTATTAGTGATTTATTTTATTTTATTTCCTTTTTTTTTCTCTTTTTTTTAATATTCTTTCTGTTTTATCTATTTATATATAGAAAATAATAAATAAATAAAATTAAAATTTTTACGAAAAGAAATACAAAAATTATTTTTATGTTAATTTTTTAAATATTTTATAATATTTAAATCTTTACACTGATATAGATCTTTTAAAAGATTTTTATAAATTTGATCTAATAGTTTAATTTTATTTTAACTTTAATCTAATTCGTGCATATATTTGTGCATATATTATATACATTCTGTGTCAGCTATCTTTAGTTGAAACCTAGAACAATTTAACTCAAGATTTTGAAAAAGCATATTTTGTAATAACATCTTTTTCTGTGTAAATAACTGGAAAAAAAATCTAAAATTCTAACAATCTAAATCTAATCAAACAATCAAACTAACAATCAGCTAACAATTGAGAAAGCCAGTTTCCATAAGAACATTAGAATCGTTGAAAAATAAAAACAACGAAGACAGAGGTATATGATGTATCGTATATTTAAAAATCAAGTTTTTAAATATAGGTCTTTCTAAAAAACTAGCTTGTCAATTCAAAAAAAGAAGACAAAAATTAACCTTTTATTAAACGAGAATGAAACATAATTATAACAAATATTATATTATAACACATATATTTATATATTTGTGCATCAGAAACAAACAAAAAAAGCAGAGAAGTGAAGGAAAAATGCAGAGAGGTGAAGGAAAAATACAGAGAGGTGACGGGAAAATGCATTGAGTTGAAGGAAAAAGGAGCACAAGAGCAGAAGAGTAGAAAGGAAAGAAAATATTACAGTAATGTAAACAGTAATAAACAAATATTGTGAAAATGCTGCATGAAATTAATGGCTCTGACATAAAAAAAATTAAAAAAAAAAACAGTCATACATACCACAAAGTAAACCCTCTTTTCTTATAAGAGCTCTGGCCATTTTTAAAGAATCTTTATCATTTGTTTTAATCCATTTATCAACAAGACTTCTATCTAACACAGTTGGTATAAAATCATAACCAATGCCTTCAACCTTGTAAAAATAAAATCATAGAAATTTCAAAGTAAATATAATAACAAAAAGAAAAAGATAAAAAAAAATATTTTTCACCTTTTATAAATCCTATTTTATTAAGTCATTATTACAGTAACTTTAAACATATTTTACATTGAAACTTTTTAAAAGTAAAGAACAAAAATAAATTAGTGAGAGGTTCAAAAATCATTTAACTAAAATGTGAAATTGCAAATGCATATGTTCAAAAGAACAGTATATGTATATATGTATATGTATATATATATATATATATATATATATATATATATATATATATATATATATATATATATATATATACATATATACATATGTTTTATGTATATAATTTTATGCATATGCTTTATCTTAATTAAAAAAAAATCATTTATAATGAATTCAAAACTTTCTCTTAAAAAACTTGTCTGTTTTGGCACCTTCTTAAGTGTATATCATTATTTGCTATTAAAACAATGTTCACATATCTGAAAAGTTACTAAAAACACGATCAACCCTAATAAAAAATCCAAACCTCATAAAATGTTGTATCAGTCACATTGAGATCACCAGGTTCAGCCAAAATTGATCCATAGGGATCTACACCAATCACCTACAAATTTTACATAAGAATAAATTAAAACCAATTCTTTTTTTTTATTCTGATAATTACTCCCAAAAAGGCTGCAAACAGCCACTATTAAGTTGGGAGTTACTAGAAAAAAAGAAGTTATTGAATTGAGTTATTGAACAAGGAAATGATTGACCGAAGACTTAAATAGTTAAAAGTTGTATGAGTCAGGAAAACATGAAGATGGGAGAAAGTTATAAAGAGTTGAGGGTATATATATATATATATATATATATATATATATATATATATATATATATATATATATATATATATATATATATATATATATATATATTTAGATTTGTGAGTCGATGTAATCAAAATACAAAACATTCTGGATTTTTTTATTTTTATTACAAAAATAAAAACATTCAGAATAGGTAGAACATGCACTACTACAAAGAGGGATAACACATTCTCCATCAAATAGGTAGAACATGCACAGGTACAAATAGGTAGAACATGCTTTCTGACAAAAAGGTAGAACATGCTCTCAAACAAATAGGTAGAACATGTGCTCCTACCTATTATGTTCTACCTACTTGTAATAAAATATGTAAAAAAAATAAAAAAACATTCTAAATGCATCTTTATTAAAGAAATAAAAAACAGTCTATTAAGTAAGGTGATTTCCTCTCCTGACATACATAAAAACATGACATATAAATAAAGACTCATGAGTTTAAATTCAACACAACTTTTAACTCGGGGATTAAGAAGCGATCAGATACAAATTTTTTTAAATAATTTATATATATATATATATATATATATATATATATATATATATATATATATATATATATATATATATATATATATATATATATTAGACATATACAAATAGGACATATACATTACTATTTGTATACCTATTTGTTGGAAAGTATGTTCTACCTTTTTGTAATAGTGCATGCTGCAGGCGATTAGCATTTTTGCAGACTTATTTGCAAAAGAAAATTATTTTATAAGTTATGTCATGTTTTTTATTTAAGTTGGCATAAAAAATAAAACTACTACATTTTGAAAATGTTTGTTAGCATGTAGATTTATAGATTTGTTAGTTACACTCTAATGCTTTAAATCATAAGAAAAATTACCAAGCATAAAAGGGGATAAGGAAAATCCCTTGAAGGGGATAGGAAATATCCCTTGAAGGGGATAGGAAAAAAAAAAATAATCACGTGAGCATGCGTAATAAAAGTTTTTATTTGTCCGAAAGAAAACTGCGCATACTCACGTGATTATTTTTCCGTTCCCTTTCCCTTTCCCGTAGAAAAACAAATGAGTGGAAACTCACCTTTATGAATTGATAATCTTGACTAGTTTCAAGTTAAAAGCTATTTAAAACTATATAGTTAAGTCTATTTAACCTCTTAATGTGTGAGATCTGCTGTTATCAAACTTAAGGTTTTTATACTATTTTTTACCATTTTTTGCACCAATACTTTTGCACATTTCTGTTATTTTTGATAAATGTGTTAGATGATAACCTTTAGCACTTCAAATGACAGCTTATGAATTATCTTGCAATCTTACCTCATCAGACATTCTTCGTAAATATATAATTTATTTATATATGTACGAATACATTATAATTTTCCATGCATCAATAAAAATTTGCAGAAAAGCAACAGTACATTTAACTTGCTCCTGATTTATAACTGGGTTTGTTTTCAAAGCTGTCAAGTTTTCTTCACAAAAAACACACATTACTAGTTTCACATTTTGCCTTTTAACAGGATTCGGAGATATGGCTTACTCATTTAGATGAGATAATGTAGTAAGCCAGTTTAATACTAACAATCTCAGTTTCTCAAGATCTTTCCAATCAGCAACTAACTCCTCAGCTTCACCAAATTGAAATTTAATCTATTTAGTCATTTTGGTAAGCCAATTGTTACGTATATTCTTCTTTGTTACGTATATTCTTGTTTGTTAATATATTCTTCTATAAGTGGACATAATCATATAAAAAAATTTATTTAATTTAGTTTTCCAAGGTTAATTAGGAATGATATCAAAAAGAGTAAAAAAATGTCTATTTACTTGATTGTTATTGCAAATTACAGAAATAACTTTTCTAGCTAACTTCTCTTATCCCAAGCATGACCATAGACTTTTCCCCCATGAAATGTAACAGTTGTTTTAATGTATACTTCATCAACCATTATGATGTATGAGCGATGTCTGTCTTCCAAACTGTGAAAGATTTTGGAAATTAAAGATAGTATCAAGTTTATTTACTCTTGAGGTCAATTTTATTAAAGATAATACACTAGGTAGTTGAAAGTCATTTCTTTAACGTTTATATAATGGTCAAGATACAGCCATATACTCAAAGGATAGAACAATAATATCTGGTGAAGACAGGCTCTCCAACAGTGGAACTTCTTATCTCAAATAATTTATAATAAATAAAAATATATATATATAAACAAAAAAACATCTAAACCTTCTCTTTTTTTTAGTTATTTAAATATTGTTTAAAAAATTGCTTCAGATAAAATAAAAAATTTAACAATAGAAAAGTCTTATTCGGTTCTGTGAAAATATTGTTAAAATAAAACCTATATAAAATGCTAAAATAGAACCCATATAAAATGCTGTGTATGTTGAATCACTTTTAATTTGAAGAAAAATCTAAAAGAGTACAAAATTAGTTCAATCGCTACAACATAAAGTAGAATGAAACAAAAAGTTCATGAAAACATAATAATAGTAATATTGTAATAACAATGATTGCTATTAGAGTATTAATATTATTTTGATATATATTTTCATGAAATAAAGACTTTTTATGTGATTTTACTTAATGACATAAAAAGTAAACGTTTTTATGATAATATATTCTACTTTGTGTTTTTCATGTCATAAAGTAGAATATATTATCATAAGAACTAGAATATATTATTATGTCCCATACAATATATGATTATAAAAACTAAAAGGTTAGATAATTTGAATGTCCCTCACCGTGGCACTCCAGTTCTTTGAATAAAATCTTTTGGTTGTAAGACAATTTCATCATTTTAGTTGTAAATAAAAACTGGTAGATGTTTAGTTTTAACCTTCATTATAATATTCCTCTTGAATATTGCTTACTGATAATCTTGTTTGACTTGTTTTACGTGGTGCTGTTAGAATTTAACTAGAATTAATGTTATGAAATATTGTTGGAGGTACATTTTGTCATTTCTTACCATTAATCATTATCAAATTAATATTTCGAAGCCAATGTTTAGAGCATCCCACAGTATATTTTGAATCAGGGATATTATCTTTTGGAATTGCAGTTATTCATCTTTTTCTTTTGGTAAACGATAAACAGATAGGTATTTTTCATTGTTTTTATCATAGTTTAAAAAGCATGAAGTAAAACAACACTTTCGAGGCAGAGTGCATTCAAGATATGAATTTTTTAATTTCTTGAGCAATTTGCTCTCAAATTTCTGCTAAAAAATCAGCCTCCAGTCTTTCTGCCTAATTGCGCGATTGCAAGGCCTGTTATAAAGATAGCTTTGATTGAAATATAAAAGTATTGGTGTTTCATTTCAAAGTGTGATCAAAATAATAACAAACAGTAATTATAAACAAATATCAAAACAAATTAATTAAACTAAAATCAAAACAATCATGATACTATTATTTTACTCAATTTTTTTTTTCTTTTTAATTCTAATTAATTCACCTTCCCAAAGGCCATAAAGGCCACTATAGTTAAGGAGGCTACTTTTAATTGTGGTTACAACTCTCAACTCTCTATTGAATCTGAAATTCTGAAAAAAAAAGCTGCACAGAGAAACAAGCTGAGCTGATGCAGAGACCTGGTGACCAGGATCGAACTTGTAACTTTTTGCTTATGTAGCAAGCGTTCTACCACTACATTACTACTGCATTAATAATATATATATATATATATATATATATATATATATATATATATATATATATATATATATATATATATATATATATATATATATATATATATATATATATATATATTATATATATATATATATATATATATATATATATATATATATATATATATATATATATATATATATATATATATATATTATACTAAAAATATTGTTGGTTACAGGTTATATGTTCTGTTGATAAGACTTTTTATACATTTTAATGTTTTACTTGTTAATTACTGTTTTACTTGTTTAATGTGTTAATGTTTTACTTGTTAATTACTGTTTTACTTGTTTAGTGTGTTAATGTTTTACTTGTTAATTTTACTTGTTAATTAACATTTAAAAGTATTTTAACATTTTATTAAGAACCTTTACAGATTAATAAATAGCTTAATAAAAAAATGAGCAAGTCAAAAAAAGACTAAAATAAATAATATATAACAAATAACAACTTTTCCAGTTGAGAAACACTCTGCCAGTACATGGTAACAGTAATGGAGACTTAGAATAGTTGCTAACTAACCCTAAATTATATTATACATTATTTTAAAAATCTAAAATTAAAGCAAATTATGTGTACTTTTATGTCTGGACATTTTTCTTTTAGTTTTCTTGACAACCCAGTTAGAGTACCACCTGTTCCAGCAGAAATTACTATCATATCAAGTTTTCCTAAATATAAATAAAGTTAATATAATCTCAAAACTTTTATCACTATAAAAAATATATAAAACTTTTTATTTTTTTAATCTTAAATTAACTTATTATTATAAGTAAAAAGAGCTAATGGAAAAAGCCATTGCAAAAGTTCAAGCTGGCAAACTGAGTTGCAAGCGACCTGCAGAATTATACTGTATACCTCAAAGGATATTAGGAGGAAGAATTTAATATCCAGAAAGTATAGCTGGGGCTGGTACATTAACAAATCTCCTAAAACATCCTACATTCATAAAATAAAATTAAAAAATTAAAAAAAAGGTAAAAAAGGTAGAGGGGGACATGCCCCATATCGATGGCCATGCCCCCACTTATTGAATATTGTTAGATTATTTTTATTTAACTGATTGTAAATGTGTTTTCAAGATTTATAATTTAAAATAAAAACTTTGTTATAAATAATTCTAAGGTCTTAGTGGTTGCAAATAAGCCTATAGTTTATAAAGCTTTATATAACTATTGTTTTATGACTTACGCTTTATATAACATTTATATATCGCTTTCAAGTTATTTGAAGACTAGAAAGAATGTTATGTTTGTATACAAAGTAGAAATATGAACATTAAACAATAATGTTCTTGAACTATTGAAGTCAAAATCCAATTTAAGAAAAACAAATGTTTTTCAATTTTGGTGTTTAAAAATCTTTATTTATAATTAATAACTAATAGTTTTCACAAAATTACCTCAAAATCCTCAATACTAAAAATATCCTGAATACTAAAAAGTCAAATTACTATAAGGAATTTTTTAAATTTATTTTTTATATTTATAAATTTATTTGCTATTTCTAAAAAAAGTGAAAGGCATGAAAGCGGATGAGCAGAAATTCTGTGAATAAATTTGAAAGCTATTGTGTTTAAAGCCTTGCACAAAACTCTCCCCACTCCCCCAAAATAATTTGGTAGTCTTAAGGATGATGGGCTACTAATAAGTTTTTAAGAAACTTATTTGTAAAATGCTAAATTTTAGAGTATTTTAATGGTTTTAATGGTGTCTGTTTCCATATTAGATGGTGGATATGGTGTGATAACAAAGTTAGTGGCTGTGTGCTAACATTAATTTTCCTCAATTTTGTGGCAGTTCAGTATTTGTAATGTAAATATTTACTAATTTCACAGATAAAAAAATATACATACATACCATCACATTGATGCAAAATTTCTTCAGCTGTCAAGTCATAATGTGCCAGAGGATTGCCTGGGTTACGATACTAAATTAAATAGTTTTAAAAAAACTATATGAAATATTTGCCATAGCATGTAAAAATTTAAAATAAAATAACAATATAAAAAACCTGGTCAAGAATATAAGAATCTTTTATCTCATTATTCAGGCGTTGAGCAACACCAATATGAGATTCTAAATTAAAAAAATTAATTTGCCTTATATTGGAAAGATAAAATGTTGCATACTTCTCAGGAAAAATAAGATGACCACGATATTACCAGGTCATCTAATTTTTATTCCATTTAGGTCTTTTTCTTAAAGCAAAGAATCTGTTGTTCAACTAACTCTAATTAACAGATGAAAATTTAGAAAACTTGTAAAGAAAGAAATTAGAAAGAGAAAAAGTTGAAAATAAAACTTCTTTTCATAAAGAAAAGCTATTTATTAAACTATTTAAAAACTTAATAAAATACAATTGTAGTTTTTTCAATTTAGAATTGTCCTTTATATGTAGAATGTATCTGACAAAACCTAAACCATCAGATGTGTATGCATGTATATATGTATGCATGCACACAAGCATATATGCATGTATGCAAGGATGTCGAATCTAAAAGTCACAAAAAAATTACTTCTTCCTAGTTTTTGATTGGATCTCTAATAAAAGCCTATCGACAACTAATGCATAGAAGATCCTGGTCATATTTTAAATATCCTGAAAAAATTTTTCTAATATCCGGAAAAAATCTGGAAAAATATTTTGAAAATATTTCCTGAAAATTTGGGAATAAAAACGGTTTTTCTGTATTTAAGAATATCTCATGTGCTTGAAAAGAAAATTTTTGGCAGACAATCTTCTATGAAAAAGAAATATATTTTAATACTTACTAAAATAGTTTATAAATTAAATTTAACAAGATTTTTAGGTGATTTTTGTCAAAATAATTTAAGTGCTGTGTTTACATATCATAAATAAAAAGATGTTTCATATTATTTAAATATTCAAAAAATAAGTATTTATCAACACATTAACAAAAAAATTTTTAATAAATGATTTTTAATGCTATTTCTTTTTCGCGAAGGTAAGTTCCGAATCTTTGAACTTTTTTTAAATAAATACTGGTGTGATTATGCTTTTGTAGTTATTAAATGACATCAAACAAAAAAGCTCTTTCAAATAACTTTAACTCAAGTTATAAATGTGTGTTTGGGTTTTCCTTTTTGCAATTAATTTTTATGTAAATCAATGCTTTTATATATAACCATTTATAAAACATAATAAAAATAACAATAAGTAATATCAATAAGTAAACACTTTTAAAGACTTACATTTGAAATACTTTAACAAAATTAATATTAGTGCTATAGATATAAGTAAATTTAAAAATTATGATACAAGTTTTACTGACAAAGTCTCAAAGCCAAAATAACAACTTTCTTTGGATTTAGAAAGAAAACAGTGCAAATTAATTTGATTTCACGGTACATGGAATCAAAATATTTTAATGAAAATAAAAATAAAACAAAGTAGAAAAGCGGTATTGTTCATTTAATTACAATTTTTATTTTGTCACAAGTCTCCAGTTGAACTAAAACGCAAATATTTTTTCAAGGAGAACCCCTAATCTACTGTGCGATTGTTTGAAAATTGTTTAAAAAACTATGTGGTCGGGACATTATTTATTATTAAACCAGATATTTTACAACGAAAAGATATTAAGTTTATATTAACCTCTCAACTGGAAATATAATGGCAAAACAATAAATGCTTTTTTGTTAATATCTTAATAAATATATTGATTTAGATAAAATAAAAAAAGCAATTCCTTTTACTCAGCGTTTTTCCAGTAATTGTTCAGCTTTACATAAATAAATTTTTTAGGGATTTTGCTAATATTTTTATTCACATAAAGCTGAGCAATTATTCCAATTTGTCTCAGCACTTGGGAATCTCTGTAATAATAAATAAGAGAGTACCAATAAGAAATTATTATTTGTACAAAAAATGCCTCACCAAGTAAAATAAAAATTAAAGTAATTGATGAACGATACTTTTACTGTTTTATTTGATGACAAAAATAAAATTTTAACTTCTATTTTCAGAAAACTATTTGGATATCTGGAAAAAATAATTCTTATAGCATATCAAAAGTTAACTAACATGTTTAGAGGTTCTGGACATTAGAGACCAAAAAAAAAATAAAGATATAAAGCTAGAGTCCTTTTAGGACTCCATATCACTGAATGTATGTATGTATTTAGGGTCAGTTCATTATATTTCAAATAATGACCTGGGGACTTCATTTCTAATTTTCTTGATTTTTACATATAATTATGTGCATTATAAATCTAGATTAAATTTGAAATTTCAGACCTCCAAGTACATTGGTTTAGAAACTATAGCCTTACAATTACAACACAGTGACCCCCTCGATTTAAAAATGGTCAGAATAGAATATTTAGAGCCTTAACTTTTTTCTCAAATTCAACAAGTGTCTCATTTTTCTAAAACTATTCTGGATAGTTCTCTATTAAAAAAATAGCTTTTATTACCTTAAATCATATTAGAGAAAAATTATAACCATATAAGGCCATTAGATTCAATATCTAAAAAAATCATTAATGTTCACACCAAAAATATCAGCATTAACAAATAACCCTATTTGTTAATTATCAATGCTTGAGTGCATTATTGAAAACCACTGCCCTCTCTAACTTGCCCTGTGAAGGGTGCAACCAATTAAAGTCATTTTTTAACAAAAAAAAAGATATAATAGGTTGCCACCTCCATAATCTGCTCTTTATAGTGAATAGGGGTGCAAATAAAGGGTCAATAACTATTTAGAGACCTTCATTTGTTTCAAATTGATGCTTTAAAAATAATTTACGCAATAAAAGGACATTATATTTCAATAATGCTAAACAGTTTTTTTAAAAGACTTCCATATTATATAAAGGGTAATATAGAGTTCTATTATAAAAAAATAAAGATTTCTAAAGAAAAAAGTCAAAATATGTTACAAACAGCTATTATTCTGTTTGGTTTTTACTTTCTAATTGATATTAAGTGATAATTGAAATCAATTAATTTATGATGATTTTTTCAATCTTTTTTTAAATAAGATAGAAATAAAATCCTCTTGTTTTTTTAAGCTCAGGCTCATGTATGATGGAAACAATGTCCCTCATATGATGGAAATAATGATACTAACAAATATCTGGTGTTTTTGTATACTTAAATATATCGCCAGCATTTTGTAAACAGTTGACACAAACAGAATCACATTTATAAATAATATCTTTACAGGAAAAACTTACCAAAATAATGCATTAATATTCACTGACTTTTGTGTAGACGAGTATCTCCCAGCATGACAAAACTGTCAAACTCACTGCTCCTTGGTTTGAGAAAAGTTTAAACACACAAGTGTCTTCACATCCTTTCAAAGTTTTTAATGCAAAAACACAAATTTCTACAAGCAAACAATTGTCCAGTTAGCATTCCTACTACATCAAAGTTGTTCAGATTTAGACATAAGACAGGAAAAAAAACAACAGTATACAACAAAACCAAGTATGCAACAAAATCAAGTTAGACTTTAATTGTGTAACAAGTGTGTCTTTATGTGCAAATAAATCAGTTAGAACCTGTAAAAATTAGATTAAATTAAATTTGAAATTGAAACTCCAAGTCAGACTGAAGTATAACTTGGAGTTTCAACTTCAAATTTTGAAGTACAATAATAACATCTGAAAGAATTTCCCCCAGATGTAATTACGTTTGAAAAAAATCTTATATGTAACTGGTTAAAATAATGCATTATTTTAACCTCTGGGTAAAATAATGCATTATACTTTAATTATTTTATAAAACCCTTTAGTTATATTTGAAAAGATTTATAAACCTTTGATAAATTATAATTGAAAAGATGTAGTAGAGATGTAGAAACTACAACGGTAGAATTCATTGGTGTAGTTGTACAGATGAAGTTATTCTTATCATAAGTGAAAAGATGTAACTACATCTGTAATAACCATATATTTTAAATACAGATGCTATTAGACATCAAGGAAATTTCATATGTTGTTAGACAGATGCTATTATACTTCAGTTTATTTACAGATGTTGTTGGGCAGATGTTATTAGACATAGCAAAAACTGATGTTGTTACCTTGACCCTCAAAATATTTATTGAACCTTTATTTGCACCCCTATCCACTATAAAGACCAGATTAAGGAGGGGGCAACCAACTATGTTTTTTTTTTGTTATGACTTTTGTTATGTTTTGTTTTGTTATGACTTATAATTGGCTACACCCCTTTACACCCCTGTTTCCAATAACACATTCAACAGTTGATAATTAAAAAATAGGGTTATTTAAAAATGCTAGCATTTTTAAATAACCCTATTTTTGTGTGAGTTTGACAACTTTATAATGTTTGCATTTTCAGATAATTGGGTTTAATAGTCTAAACAAAGAGTTTAGGCTATTAAACCTTATAGTCAATTTACCAGCATTTAAGATGCTGGTAAAATTTACCAAAGTTATAGAGGTTATAATATTTCTCTTATGATTCAAGTTAATAAAAGCTTATAAAGTTAAAAAGTTAAAAAGTTAATAAAAGTTAATAAAAAGTTAATAAAAATTTTTTTAAAGAATGAAATATCCAAAAAATATTAAAAAAAAAAGTTAAGGCTCTAAAGTAATCTACTTTGAGCATGTGTAAATCAAGGGGGGGGGGTTTACATTTGAAATATTTACTCAAAAAAACCTACATAGTGCACATGTTGTGGAAAAATCA